TTCAAACACTGCAGGCACTACTTAGGACAACGGACCTGTTTGGTCCCACAATAAAGATTGACAGTGTTGGAAACCCAAAGGAGGCATTTTACTCCAGTCCTGTCTGGTGGCAATGTAGCAGACTCACCTCCATGTCAGTGAATTGGGTTTAGTTTCAAAGTCATGTGATGATGGAGAAGCAGGACTGGGTCAAGAACCTGGTTTTGCTTCCCAACATAATCGCTGAAGACAAAGCGGGTGCATAAGCAAATGTGGTGAAGAAAGCTGATGGTGCCTGGCTATCAAAAGATATAGAGTCCGGGGTCTTAAAGGCTTGAAGGTAAACAAGTGGCCATCTAGCTCAGAAGCAACAAAACCCACTTGGAAGAAGCACACCAGCCTGTGCTGAGGTGTCGAAGGGATCAGGGATCAGGCATCATCAGAACAAAAAATTATATCATAGTGAATGAGGCAGGGAGTGCGGAGTGGAGACCCAAAGCCCATCTGTAGGCAATTGGGCATCCCCTTACAGAAGGGTCTCAGGGAGAAGATGAGTCAGTCAAGGTGCAGTGTAGCAACGATGAAACATACAAATTTCCTCTAGTTCCTAAATGCTTCCTCCCCCCTCCTAATAACATGATCCCAATTCTACCTTACAAATCTGGCTAGACCAGAGGCTGTACACTGGTACAGATAGGAACTGGAAACACAGGGAATCCAGGGTGGATGATCCCTTCAGGACCAGTGGTAAGAGTGGCAATACCAAGAGTGTGGAAGGAGGGTGGGATGGAAAGGGAAAACCGATTACAAGGATCTACATATAACCTCCTCCCTGGGGGGTGGACAACAGAAAAGTGGATGAAGGGAGATGTTGGACAATGTAAGAAATGACAAAACAATAATTTATAAATTACCAAGGGTTCATGAGGGAAGGGGGAGCAGGGAGGGAGGGGGGAAAAATAAGGAGTCGGGCTTTATTGGAGAGCAGGTATTTTGAGAATGATGAGGGCAACGAATGTACAAATGTACTTTACACAATTGCTGTATGTATGGATTGTGATAAGAGTTGTATGAGCCCCTAATAAAATGATTTTCAAACAAACAAAAAGAACCTGGTTTTGCTTACAGTGCAGTCTAACCTCACAACTACTTGATAATACACTCCATCAACCTACCAGATATAACATTCACTAAAAATCATCAAAATTCAACCATCTACCTGTCACATATTTTTCAGTTACATTTCTTTAAAACTGAAACCGATCGTCTTTCTGATCACAGCCCTCACACAGAAACCACCCACAACTGCCTCTTCCACGGAACTGTAGTATTTGAAAATCAAAGCACTGGGCTTAAATATTATTTCAAAATGTACTGTTTTCTGTTTTAAACCACTGGTGCGCTCATTGATCCACAGAACTCTTCTAGATTATATTGCTAATTTTGCCTTTAAAATATTTTCGTACAACCATGCTATGCAATTATTTGCATAACTCAAAAGCAAAACCTAATTAGGGTCCAGATATTTGTTTCTTAGATCGAAGAAATCCTTTAAGGGAACCAGCAAAAGATCTTCACTTATCAAACAGTGTAATATTTTCTGGATTTTAAATTAACCAATATTGTTGTTTCTGTTAGGTGCCATTGGGCTGCTACCAACTCATAGTGACGCTACACAACAAAGCAAACACACTTCGTAATCTGGGTCATCCTCACCATTGGTCTTAAATTTGAGCCCATTGAGTCAGCTACTGTGCCAAATCTTCTCAAAGTTCTTCCTGTTTCTCGCTGCCCCTCTACTCACCCCAGCCTCTGTCCTTCTCCAGGAACTGATCTCTCTTGAAAACTTATCCAAAATGTGTGATAAGTCACTATCCTTGACTCTAAGGCACACTCTAGAAATACTTGTTCCAAGATCGCCTTTTTATCCTTCTAGCAGTCCACGGTGCTTTCAGTATTCTTCTCCAGCACCACAGTTCATATGCATTGATTGTTCTTTCCATATGCCTTATTCAATATCCAACTTTTACATGCATATGAGCCGATTGAAAATACCAGGGCAAAATAAATAAATAAAATAAAATACCAGGGCTTGGGTCAGGAACACCTTAGTCCTCAAAGTAACGTTCTTGCTCTTCAATATTCTAAGATCTTGTGCAGCAGACTTACCCAATGCAATGCATCTTTTGATCTCTTGACTGCTGCTTCCATGGGCATTGATTGTGGATCCAAGAAAGATTAAATCCTTGACAACGTGAACCTTTTCTCCATTTGCCATGATGTTACTACTTGTCCAGTTGTGAGGATTTGGGTCTTCGTTACATTGAGTTGTAATCTATACTGAAGACTGCAGTCCTTGATCATCAGCAAGTGCTTCAAGTCCTCCACACTTTCAGCAAGCAAGATTGTAGTATCTACATAGTACAGGTTGTTAATAATCCTTCCTCCAATTTCTCCAATTCTTCTTCATATAATCCAGTTTCTGTGATCATTTGATCAGCATACAGATTGAATAAGTGTAGTGAGAGGATACAAACCTGACATACACCTTTCCTGATTTTAACCATGAAGCATTCCCTGTTCTGTTCATACAACAGCCTCTTGTTCCATATACAAGTTTCTCATGAGCACAATGAAGTGTTTATACTCAAAGTTCTCCATAGTTTGTAATGATCCACACAGCCAAATGCCTTGGCATAGTGTGTTAGCCTGGGTAGACTAGAGAAACAAATGCATAGACACTCATGTGTATAAGAAGAGTTTTATATACAAGAGCAATTGAATATTGATAAAACATCCCAGCCCAATCCAGATCAAGTCCATAAGTCCGATATTAGCCCATATGTTTGATACCAATCTATAAAATCCTTTTCAGACTCACGAAACCCATGCAATGATGCCAAATGCAGAAGATCACAGGCCAGTGGGTGGAAAGTCTTGTGAATCCAGTGGCTGCATAAACATGCCAGCGCTGGCATGGGTCTCCATGTAGCTCCTCCAGCTCCAGGGCTCTGGTTCCATCAGGGGTCTCCATGTGGCTTGTCAGCAGGAAGACAAGCAGAGTGTGAGTATCTGGCCTCCAGTGATCTATTTATCTCCATGGCACCTCGAAATGAGGCCATCAAGCTGTGGCCTGATTGACAGACTAAACTCCACCCCTTTACTCTTAATAGTCTCAGATTATGTAATTACCATAGACCACCCCTTGTAAACTTGACACTTTTACACAACTCTTTAGCCATACATAATTTTTGAACAAACAATAGTAAAATCATATCTGCAATTAACAGGATAAAACTAAAATGCATACAATTCAAAAATTTGCCACCCTCATTTAAACATAACATTCTATAAGTGAACAAAAGTATTCTATACTTATGTGAACACTCACACCTTAATCTTATAATCCTATGAACATATTCTAGCACCTATGAAAGGTTGTAAGCCAACCATGTCAATGCCTTTATCGTCCTCATTTGGGGTATCCAATTTCTATACTGTCCACTTACATCAACTCAGTGCTCTGAGGAGACCATCATATTCTTTGACATGAAGAATCTTCGTTGCAGTTGGAAACTTCTGAGTTCTGCACCCATAAGCAAAGTCAAATCAGGACAGGCCATCCATAAATTCAGCAGCAATATGCACCAATTCACAGGCTCAAAAATCTTCTCTTCATCTGGTTGGGTTCTGGTCAACTCAATGTGGGCTGCCTCACTTAGCCTCACCAGGGTTCCCATTGGTCACCTCGCCTTTAGATCATGGGTCCCATCGCAAATTCTCATCAATCCTAGGCCCTTTGTGCTAGGTCATGAACTTCAGAGCAGTCAACCCGCTCTCGTTTTCTCCTCTAGTTCCTGTGAACCACGTCCACAGGTGTCAGTGGCTGGACTCAGCCCATCTCTTTATTGCTGCATTTCTCCCACTTCCACTCCACAAGTGGATCCAGGTGATTACCGAGCAAGCATTTCAGGCTGCCACAGGCGCCCTTTCATGTTCAGTCCTAGAGAGGAGAGTTTCTTCATGGTTCCAGATTTTTTCCAGCCTCAAGAACAAACCACTAGTTCAAAATTTTAAAATCCAAAGAGTTCCCCCTCCCCCACCCCATGCCCTTTTTTTTGCCTCAATCTGTCAACAGCCCCCTAGGCAATTCTCTTCAACCTTCTAATGTCCTCAGCACTCAAAACACTGGGTGAGGCTTATACTTTCAGAGTCTTCTTTGCAGACATGTCCTAACCCATTTAAATCCCAATTTGGTGGCTGAAACAGAGAGCTTACAAACTCTCTATACTTCCCAATAATCATCTCTGTCAATCATTATATCAACAATAATAAGCAGAAGAAATCAGTATAAACAAAGTAGAATCAGATCCTAAACTCAATTCTTAAAACAGTCAGGTTCATATGGATGGTGATAAGAGTCGTATGAGCCCCTAATAAAACGATTTTAAAAAATACAGTCAAGTTCAACCCTTATGTATTTTATCTTAATCCTTATCTAAACTATTCTATTGATACAGAATAGGGTGTTAGGCCTCTGAGTGCATCAAGCATAAGGTTTAAAACCTCTACTTCCTCTGACTGGGCAGTCAATTCCTTCTTCATTGTCTATTCTTAGTCTGGAAACTCCACTGAAACTTGTTTACTTGGGATGATCCTGCTGGCATTTTAAAATACCAGTGAAATCACTTCCAGCATCACAGTAACTCACAAGCCCCCACAGCACGACAAACTGTTGGTTGCCCCAAAATTATTTGCATAGTTCCTCTTATTGAGTTGTTGTTATGTTTCTGTTAGCTGCTGTCCTGGGATTATGGTGACCGCCTGCACAATAAAGAGAAAACACTTCTCAGTCTTGCATCATTCTTATGATTGGTTCTAGTTTAGACCATTGATCCATAGGGTTTTCACTGGCTGATATTCAGAAGTAAATCTTCAGGCCATTCTTCCTAGTACGTATTAGTCTGGAAGCTCAGCTGAAACCCGTTGAATAGCATAGCATGGAACAAGTCTCCACTGACCAATGGGCAGAGGCTGAGCATAAAGTGCATTGAGCAGGAAGTTACCACAGATCTCCTGCCTGGAAGGCAAGAATTTTATCACTGAATCACCATTGTCCCCACATAGGTCAAACATCATGTTTGTATACACTAACTGCCATGTAGTCCACAATAGTATGTGAGTCACAGCAGAACTAGTTGTGTCACTTCTGTTGGAGTGTCATGGGATTCTGTTACTCGTGCCGTGGATATGGAGATTATTTAAACACAGAAAATAAATACCAGAGAACAGTAACTACTGCTCCAGAAGAAAAATCATAGACTCTAGGATTCTGTTGAGCCCAATTATAAGACTTTTTATTTGCTACTGTGATAAATTGTCTGATGGATTGCATCCTGAAAAGCCTATCTTGAAGAAAACATTAAGCCTTTTTATGTAATAAAATGCTTGCATAAACAGAGATAAAATATAAACAGATTTTCTGAAGTTTATGACATGACCCAAAATGAATTTAAAACAGCCAATCTAGCAAGTAAATTTTGGAAGACATAAGCTAAACTATTTACACATCTAAGTAACCCTACATGAAACAGTGGTTAAGTGCTCAACTGCTAACTGAAAGGTCAAGATTTGAACCCACCAGCCCCTCCCCCATGGCTGTTTGCTTCCATACAGATGCCAGTCTTAGAAGCCCTCTGAGGCCATTTGCCCTGTCCCATCGGGTCAATATGCTTTGGTAAGACTCAGTGGTGATGTGCTTTAGAGATCCATTCATCCTCCCTTTACACATGACCACACACACACATTCTGACAGATAATGGCATCCACACAGCTATACGTGCACAAACACGCACACTCACTCTTTCAGTTTCAATATGAGAAACAGATTGTAGAATCAAGATGGACTTCCTTGTATAAAACAACTTCATCTAAAAAAACCTGCATAACAACATTGGTAACCAAATAGAAAATAACTATCATCCTTCCACCCAACTATGATGTATCAAGAAATCGGACTTTTTATAAAGAAATTGGACATGATCCAGAGATAAACATTTTAAGTGGCCAACTGGCTATCATATGAGAACAAACTAAAAAGAGAAGACTCATACCTGCCATCTGGCAAAAGAAAGAGCTAGTGAGGGTGTATTCGAAGCTTTGAAATCATGACAGGGTAGACACAAAGAACAGGACCACCTGGATCTTGAAATACTTTAATGAAGGGGTAGCACTTGAAATGTGTTAGAGCAAATAACAAATAGGACCATGCATCGAGTTAACTTTCGGTGGGCCCCACTTGGGTAGCTTTCCTTGCTCAATGTTTCCCCACCTCTGAAAACACTCTGGGGTCCCCAGGGCCACGTTTATACATGTGGTAACATGAAGTGGTTTAGAAGTGGCTTTTCAAACCATGTCTCACATTAGACAGTAAAAGACATGACAAAATAATAATAATTTATAAATTATCAAGGGTTCGTGAGGAAGGGGGGGTGGGGGGGGGAGGGGGGAAATGAGGAGCTGATGCCGGGGGCTTGAGTGGAGAGAAAATGTTTTGAGAATGATGATGGCAACAAATGTACAAATGTGCTTGACACAATGGATGGAAGGATGGATTGTAATAAGAGTTGTATGAGCCCCCAATAAAATGATTTATTAAAAAAAACCATGTCTCAGTACCACCCACCAAATGATTAGGTGAGACGATACAAACAGGGTAGGTGGAACGCTAATAAAGGGGATTGGTCAATTTTTCCATTCCTCTGGGTTGAACAGGGTTATCTCAGAAGGAGAGAGAGAGAGAGATTAACATGACCACCAATAAAAAAAGAGGCACTTTCGAGAGCCCTGTCTGATATGGTGGAGGCCACAGAGACACCACAGGTAGCAGCACCGAGACCATGAGAACAAGCCTAGAAGCCTTGCCAAGAAGATAAGGCAGTAAGGCAGCCAGGCTTTCTGGCCCATGGAGGCAGAGGCCAACGGCCACGTGACTGAAAGTCGGAACACCAGAGAGACTTGACTACTGCCTGAGAAGAGGCGCGACTGTGTGCCAAGGAGTGTATCCTTAATGTTTCTGATCCTGGCCTGTGGGTAACTGTTACCTGCCCTAACAAACCTCCTTCATTAGGAGGGTTATCTGTGAGCTCTGTGCGGCCATTGCAAGGGATTCTGGAACCCAGCAAGAAGTAGAGGGTGAAGGCATATCTGACATTGACTTTGTGGCGATTGGCCTGGAGCAGGTGTAAAGTTGGATTCTCCTCTGGAAGAAGTCATGTGTGGTCCCCATGCCATTTCTTCAATACCTCTCAGTCTTGCTCCCTGGAGCTCATTGACTTAGGATCAAGTACCTAATCCACTCTGGACCTGAGCTCCACTTGTGGCCAAACCAAGTCTTCTTTTTAAAAACTGGACCCAAGAAAAGAGGTGGATCTCTCTCTCTGGTGACTTAAGACTCAGCTGAGACGTAGTGCTCGGTAGTGGCTTTGTTGCAAGGTCTATAGACGTTGAGGAGGTGGCGATATCATGAGGGCAGAGCGATATTGTGGGGGCAGAGCGATATCGTGGGGGCAGAGCGATATCGTGGGGGCAGGGGAGTGGGAAGGAGGAGATCGGGGGAGCCCATCACAAGGTTGGATATATAGCCCACCCCCCAGGGGAACGAATAATCGAAACGGGGGTGAAGGGAGACAACAGACAGCGTAAGACACGAAATAACAACATTAATACACAATTGTTCAAGGATTCACGAGGATGGGAGGTGGGGGGAGGGAGGGGAAAATGAGGAGCTGATACCAAGGGCTCAAGCAGAAAGAAAATGTTTTGGAAATGTTGATCGCAACATATATACAAGTGTGCTTAATACAATTGAATGATGGATTGTTAAAATATTTGTAAGAGCCCCCCAATAAAAAGATTAATTTAAAAAAAAGAAGTTGAGGATGATGTCCTCCTATAATGAGAAGAGAAACATGGGCAATTCAGGCTGTCCCAAGGCCCTAGCCCCTCCCTTGTATAGATTGCTCACCAACTAGTCCACCTTTGGATCTAGACTATTCCATGTCTATCTGTAATAACCAAACGAAACCTAAGAATACGTTTGTAAAATACATTTCCCAAGCAATGACACCGGGGACCTCACAGACCACATTGTCAGCACTACACATTCTTCTATTCCCCCCACTTGTAGCACCCCCCATTCCACCCTCCCCCACCCCATGTCACTAGGGTCCTATACTGTTGACTGAGGAAGAAGGAAGGTGGTTCTTCCAAGAGCCATTTTCAAACATCAGGTTCCAAGTCATCTAGCTATGAACACATCCCATCACCAACAAAGAGGAATGTCTGTACCATTCAGCCTGTCCCGTTGTGATTTCCTTGTTTCAACGTCACCCTTAACTGTATGTGTGAAGTTAGAGATGGTGGTTGTAGTGGAATGTAGTAAGTAAAATGACGCGAGAAAAATTCTTACCTCTTCTACTTGCCAGGCCTTTACAACTGTGATTATCCAGACTAAGGAGACAGAGGGCTTATTTTCTAAAACAACACAGCTTTGAGTGAAAGGAGAGCTCTTCATAATTATACCAGGAAAAAAACCAACAGTACATATTAGGAATGTCTTGGGCAAACCCAGATGTATCATTCATTCCCTTAGTTCTTACTGGAAAACAGAGACAATCTCTGACAGTGAAAACAATGGGCAGAATGAACTATTGCTGTTCTTACGTATTTACTAATGCATCCAGTATTGCAATATTGGAATGGCTGGCTCTGAAAAGGAATATACTTCACGTGTCGTTGCTGTTGTGTTATTAGGTGCCATCCGGTCCCTTCTGACTTATAGTGACCCCACGCACAACAGAATGAGGCACACCTCCTTACAATCATCCCTATGTTATAGGGGCTGGGTCATTTATTCTCAGTGAGAATCTTCCACTTTTTTACTGACCCTCTACTATACCAAGCATGGTCCCTTTCTCCAGGGACTGGTCCTTCCTCACAGCATGTCTAAAACGCATGAAATGAAGTGTCACTGTCCTTGCATCTCAGGAGCATTCAAACATTACATCTTCCAAGACAGACTTATTCACTCTCTCGCAATCCATAGTATATTTAATATTCTTTGCCAACATCATAATCCCAATACATTGATTCTTCTGCCTTCTTCGTTGTCCAGCAGCTTTCTCATATACATGAGCTAAATGAAAACATCATGGCATGAATCAGGCTTAGTCTTCAAAATGACATCTTTGCTTTTTAACACCTTAAACGGATCATTTGCTGCAGATTTTCCCCCAGGTAACACATCATTTGATTTCCTGACTGCAACTTCCTTGAGTATTCATTGTGGATCCAAGTAACATGAAACTCTTCTCCACAAGTTTAGGCTTTGCCCTGTCTATCGTGATGTTGCTTATTGGCCCAGTTTTGAAGATTATTGTTTTCCTTGTGTGGGGATGTAATCCAGACTAAAGCCTATTGTGTTTGATCTTCCTCACTAAGGACTTCAAATCCTCTTTGTTTTCAGCAAGCAAGGTTGTGTCATCGGCATATTGTGGGTTGTTAATGGGTAAGCATCTTTAATTGAAGGACTATGGTTAATAAATGATTTCTTTAGAAATTTCTAGGGAACACAAAGGAAAACAACATCAGCAACAGAACAGTGTCATGGGCATGATTGGAGAAGAGCCCAAGGGTGACTGCTTGCCCAGCTTCTGGGAATGGTGTCAGCACCCAGCGCTCAATTGTCGGTCCCTTCAGGGACTGGTTTAACTGCAGTGCCACCATCTGTCCTATAGTTTGTGGTGGGTTTCATATTTCTGTGATTCTAGAATCTAGGCCATGTCTCACCACTGGTGGACGTGTTTCAGCAGAGCCTCCCTCCTTCTTCCATCTCAGAGCCTATTTCCGGAGATCCTAACCTACAATCGAAGACATCGATGGTTTTTTCCAGATTTCTGAATAATTTGGATGATAAAAATGATCTCCAAAAATCTCTTCAGGAGGGTCTCAGGGAGGAGAAGAGCAAGTCAGGGTGCGATGTAGCAACAATGAAACATACAACTTTCCTCCAGTTCCTAAATGTTCCCCCCCTCCCCCACTATCATGATCTCAATTCTACCTTAGAAATCTGGCTAGAC